GGCTGCACTTCTTCCAAAACAGATCTATTGGTTCTTTTGGCAGCCCATGGCACTTTCAATATTCTCCTCCAACACCATAACTCAAAGGCATAAATTCTTCTACAGTTTTCCTTATTCCTTCCAGCTTTCACATGCATATGAGGTTATTGAAAATACTGTGGCTTGGGTCAGGCACACCTTAGTCCTCAAGCTACATAGCCATTAATCCCTTGTGTTTTCAACAATGGCCTTTCAGTTGAGGGATTTGGAACAGTTCTCAAGTCTTTTCTTTCTGAGATTGGTTCTTGCAGAAACTCTTTAGGTCTTTAAAGCCTCAGAGATTAGACGTTTTACCCACATTCAGAATGGGTTGATAGAAACTCAGAGTAGAGTTGGATTTGTTAAACTTCCACACTGAAAGGAGAAGGATGGTGCTTATATTTACTTTGTTGTGGGTTAACACGCCAGACTGCAAAGCCGTTTCAACTCCAAGGTCAGTGGTTCAAGCTCACCAGCTGCTCCTTGGAAACTATACAGGGCCGCTATGGGTCGGAACTGACTCGATGGCACTTCACAACAGCAACAACTTTTACCCTAATAGAGATATTAAACTAGAATAGGAATGAGGGCAGAAAGTGTGTCAGGAACTAGCACTTAGAAAACTATTTCTTGGGAGCCAGGTTTCTCTTCCTGAAATGCCAAGCTTAAAAATAAAGCCCGAGGGTGTGAAATATCCACAGTGGAATGTCAAGTGTAGTTATTAGTGGTTATAAGTTGGGCAGGAAGCAGGGGGAAAGGAAGACATAACACTTAGGGGACATGTGCTTCCCTTAAGGGTGATGAAAAAATTAGGGGATGGTCATGGGTTGAGGAAGAAGCCCTGGTGGTACTATGGTAAGCATTCAGCTACTAGCCAAAAGGCTTATTATGGTTCAAAACTACCATTGGCTTTCTGGTGATCTGCTCCCACAAAGGTTGTAGCTGTTGTTGGTTGTTAAGTGCCGTTGAGTTGGTTCTGATTCAGCAACCCTATATAGTTTTTCCAAGGAGTGGCTGGTGAATTTGAACCTCCGCCCTTGTGACTCAAACCGAACTTATAGTCCAGTGCTTATCCTACAGTGCCACAGAAGGACTACACAAATATTACACTCTAGAAAACCATATAGGGCCGTTGTATTTTGTCACATGGGGTCACAATGAGTCAAAATCAAGTCAGCAGCATTTGACAATAATGGTGGGACAACATAATGAATTTAATGTCACATGTGAAGATTATTGAAATGACCCATGTTTTGTTACCTTTTTATTTACCACATTAAAGAAAAATCTGAGCTATCTCTTCCACCAAAAAGTAATGTCAATGGGGTTTTGTTTCACCTTGGCTGTTTCTGAGCATGGACTCAACACTCTCCTCTTTTTATCAGACTGCCCCATGATTTTTATAGTTTCTCTCTCTTACCAACTGACAGTTTGGGTCTAGAAAATCACAGCTTAATGTGGAATTTCCTTCTGGCTGAAAAAGAAATCACTGATTCCCAATCCACTGACACTAGGAAATTCAAGAGCAAGATGTATTAATTAATTTTACAAGAACCCCATTATTCAGTCAACTCTGCCTGTTGCATGGACATAGTTTACATATGACTAACAGCTCCTCAAGGAATCTTAAGAGACAGAAAATGTTAAGTAAACTGTTAATAGCAAACAGGTGTCTAAAAAGCATATTTGTGTTGTCTTTGCAATGTATATTCTTAATAGCAACAGCAAAAAATGAATATATTTTTAGAAAGAATCTTTGCAATAACAATGCTGATAGATATGGAATATAGATTGTATATGTAACAATGTACATGTGTATATTGTGTGTATTGTTGTGAAGTGCCATTGAGTCAGTTTTGACTCGTACCAACCCTGTATAGGGTTTCCAAAGAGTGGCTGGTAAGTTTGAACTGCCAACCCTGTTGGTAAAACCAATCTTGTGGTCGTGTTTTCTCCCACAGCACCACACCAGGGCTATTAAAGTTTGATTATATCTGTAGAGTGGAGGCAGAGAAAGGTAGAAAGTACATAGGATGCTTATGACAATAATAAGTCCACAACTTCAGTCTCAAAATGCAGTGAAACACTGATTAAAACTAATAATTTTGGTTATATTAATTTGTTTGCAAAAGTTGATTTTACCTATGATTTTTTAAAATATAATCTAAAAACTCAAGTCCTTATACACCTACTGGTTCAACAGTGATTACATTACCAGTAAAATTGTTTCATAGTCTCTACCTGTAAAGTCTCTTGCAGTTAGCAGCTCAACATGTAAAGTAGTGGACTACACGTTGAGCTGCTAACTGAAAGGTCAGCAGTGCAAATCCACCGTCAACTCCATGGAAGAAAGATAAGGATTTCTGCCCCCATAAAGATTTACAGCATCAGAAATCCTATAAAGGGTCACTATGATATGGAACCAACTCAGTGGCTTGCAGCAGCAGCGCCTGTAAAAGCCTAGTCCCTTAAAAAATCGACATAATTTATTCTTGGTGTTTTAAGGGGGCCTCTCACATGTGCTTACATATTCTTATACTTGGTCCTCCTGATTGATATCCTATGTTGATAATCTGAAGTCCTGGGTTATGTAAAATTGTTCTTAACTTATAACCAAAAGACTCATTGTTTGAGTCCACCCAGAAGTGCCTTCAAAGGAACGTCTGGTGGTCTACTTCCAAAACTCAGCACTTGAAAATGCAGTTCTACTCTGACATACATGGAGTTGCCATAACTCAGAACGGTCTCAGTGACAACTGGTATGGTTTATAAACCCTTAAAGGTGGCGTCTCACCAATAACCCTACGGTCAGTGACTTGTGAGACTGTGACAACCATATATAATGCCTGTTGTTGTTGTTAAGTGCTGTCCAGTCAGTTCTAATTAATAGCAATTGCCTGTGTATAGGGTTTCCGAGGAATGGTTGATGGGTTTGAACTGCCAACCTCGCAATTCAAACTAACTTTGCAATCCACTCTTTATCCTACAGAGCCACACCAGGACTCTAATTTTCATGAATTCCAATGATGTTGGCAGTATTATCTTTTCTTCAGTCTTTATAGTGCCAAACAACATCCCATGGTGAAATAGGAAAAAATGGCCCAATCTGTAACTCTGTGGCTAGAGACTTTGTTAACTGATCTCCAAGACAGTACCTATAGCAACCTGTGCTCCAGAGTTTACAAGCCCCCTCATGAAAACTTCTGTTTTCTGACTGAACTTCTTCAGTCAGAGGAGTCCTGGTACAATGCTAGACTGCTAACCAAAAGGCCAGTTGTTTGAATCCACCAGCAACTCTGCAGGAGAAAGATGGGACAATCTGCATTCAGAAAGATTACAGCCTTGGGAACACTTTGGGGCAGTGCTACTCTGTGTCTAGTTTGTCTATGAGTCAGAATCAGTTAGACATCACCAGATTTGATAGACAGTCAGGTGTAGTAACTAACTGAACCAAGCTTAAGACCCTGATGCTCGCTCGGGTCATTCTCTCTCTTCCACTTCCTCTTCTACTCCATGCATATCAATTCATCCAAATAGGTCGCTAGGGCAGTGCTGATGCAAATATTTTATATTGGCGCTGTCCAGTATGGTAGCCACTAGCCATATTTGGTTCATGAATCTTGGAAAGTGACTATTGTGATTGAAAACTGAGTTCCAATTAATTAAAATTTAAATGACCACATGTGACCAGCATTTTCAGTTCTACTCACTTTATCATTGCAGTGCGCTGTATTCTTATATTTTCACATTCATGCCTGCTCAACTGCAAACCATGCTGTTGTGTGTCAACCAAGAAAACTTTCTCTTCATTTCTGTGGAGAAGCAGCCTGTATCCAGCTCCCTGCTGCCCACTTCCAGAGCTGGTGTCCTAGTGAGTCTTAAACTGAGCTGACCACCACCGTTTCTCTTTTCCAGAAACCCAAAGGCCGCCCTACATTTGCTGAACTGGTACAAGTTCTCACAGAGATTGCAGAGACCTGGTGACCTGAAATGGAATGCCAACCCAGAAGGTCATCGTGCAAATTTGTCACAAAAGGAAAGTCATTGAAGGTGTATGTTTCGTTTTAGAACTGTTGACTCTTGGATACAGTGCAAAAATTACAAGCTTTCCCAAAGTTTAAAAATATTCTGACACCAGCTTCTCTATGGATGTGTTTGAGAGACACTTTTAAGCCCTTATTTTTTGTAATATTTTTCATGTCTCCCATATGTGAAGAATGGAGAAAGACTCCACTGCAGCCTTCGTGGTGACTGGTCTTCATGATACTAACCCTAAAACCTCTAAGGATGTATGAAAGCTCATCCTTTACAGAGTGAAGGGATTTCTTTCCTGAAGCAGAGAGACAGACTTTGTATCATTGGTCCATGTATAAAAGAAGAAAATAAATTCTGTCAACTCATGGAATGAAGAATCCTTCCCTTCTGAATGTCATGTTTTTGAGCTGTACAGATATTTACAGAAAATGAACCACATACACATGAATATTCTGTAACAATGTTTTATAATCTCCCTATGTATTTGGCAAATGTGCTGCTTTGGCACATATCTGATTATTTTGGAAAGAGAGAGAGAGGTTTGTCTCAGGGAAATGGTTCAGGAAATTGTTGTTGTTGTTAAGTGCCATCGAGTTGATTTTGACCCATAGCGATCCTGTATAGGGTTTCCAAGGAGCAGCTGGTGAGCTTCAACCACCAACTTTGCAGTTCAAATGACTTTGCAGTCTGACGCATTAGCCCACAGTGTCATACCAGTCTGGCAAATTGAAAGTCCATAGGTCAGGTGTCAGCCTGGATGCTTCCCTTGTCCTACATAGCTATTGACTCAAGATTGGCAAGTCAGATGGCAGGCTGCTGGATGCAGAAGCAATGAATCCAAGGTCAGCAGGGATGATGACAGGCTGCTGACTCACAAGCTGCACTAGCTAACTACTCCCAGGATTGGCAGATATTATGGCACACCGCTGGTTCAAGTTCAATGAACTGGAGGTCTGATGATGACAAGTCAGATTCAAGATCTAGATCCATCAAAAAGCAAGAGTGCCAGGATGTTCATATCTTTTTTGGAAGTGACCACATCCCTGAGGAAACTCCCTTTCAATTGGGTGGCGGCTCATCTCATAACAGATCTTATCATAGAGGTGATTACATAATATCAGATCTCATCAGAGGAGATGACTACATCATTACTGCCAAACCACTGAGAACCATGACCCATTCAAGTTGACACACACCTTAACCATCAAGTCCACCCCATGTCAACTTGATACCTTACACATTTCCTTAAACTATATGTTGTTGTTGTTAAGTGCCGTTGAGTTGGTTCCGACCCATATCGATCCTGTATAGGGTTTCCAAGGAGAGGCTGATGAGCTTGAACCACTGACCTTGAGGCTCAAACTGACTTTGCAGTCCAGCGCATTAACCCACAATGCCACACCAGGACTCCTTAAACCATATACAATCTCCTAATAAAGAAAAATTTCAAGTACTTGAACCCAACATGATACAATTAACACATGTACAACTGAAAATGCTAGCTCTTTTACATCTTATATGAGTAGACCTTAAAAAATTCATGGAAAAAATCCATGATCTTTTAACTTCACTTTCCAAAAAATTTTTGAAGCTCACTTGTATTTTATAAATTACTTAAACAAAAATATTTGCTTTATACATGCAAGGAAGAAATACTTGTAACAAATTGCAGTTCCGTTTCTCCAATTGGTCATGCAGTTGTAGCTGGTATTCAGAACTACTTTCTTCCAACATTCATTCCACATTCCCTTTGCCCTCAGCAAGCACTTCGGCTGGTAGTAGTTATTTGCCTGATGAGGTGATCCAAACCTTTATTTCTGAATGGTCTAAACCATTAGCAGTCATGTTGGAATTAGGTTGCTATAGCTTTCCATCGACTTAAAAAAAGGGCAGGTAGTACTAAGAGACATCCTATGGAATCTCCTGTATTGCAGATACACTCTTCTTTACCTCTATATTGTAATAGTATCTAATTGCCCCATGGTAAGCAAAGTCAATCACACCACTAGTACAGTAATTATCTTCTTTACTTCTTGATCCAAAGAAGAGAATGAGGACCCTGAAGTGGCTTGATGGTATTCTTCTAGTTCAATGAAATCTGTGTTGTGTCTCCAGGTGGTTCTATAGCTTGCTTTGGAACTAAGACATTGAGACCCATATAACATAGGGTCACAAGGACAGGAAGGAAAAATTTTGCAAGTGGCTCACTAAGGGTAATAATTAATAATGCCACTCCCATTTACACCCCTTGATTCCTGGGCCCATGAATGCTGCCTATTGGAGGAACAGCACTACATTTGTGCCTAATGCTGCTGCCACTGTGCCAATCCATCTCACTGGGGGTTTTCCTCTTTTTCTCTGACCCTCCACATTACCAACCATGATATCCTTCTCCAAGGACTAGTCCTTCCTGATAATATGTCCAAAGTATGAGAGATGAAGTCTGGCCATCTTGGCTTCTAAGGAGCATTCTGGCTGTACTTCTTTCAATACAGATTTGTTTGTTCTTTTGGCAGTTCATGGTACTTTTAATATTCTTCTCCAATGCCATAATTCAAATGCATCAATTCTCTGTAGTCATCCTTATTAACTGTCCAACTTTCACTTGCATATGAGCTTATCGAAAATACCATGGTTTGTATCCGGTGCACCTCAGTCCACAAACTGACAGCAGATTTGCTTAATGCAATATGATGTTCTGATTTTTTTTTTTTAATTGTGAATTGAGTGATAGTTTACAGGACACATCATCAGTTTTACACTTAAAAAATAGTATTTTATTTCATTGCAATGATTACAATGCCCTCCAAGCACCATCAGTTAACAGTATTTACTTCTATTTTCTCTTTTTGTTTTGTTTTTGTATATACAAAACACACAGAAAATATATATTTGTTTAAACTACCAATGGGCACATTTTGCAAACCAGCCTCCTGCCCACCAACACACAACCTTTCTCATTCCGTGGGTCTAGAGTCCTCAGCTGCTCTGTCTCTCTGTGCCATCACCTCTGCTTCTGTCTCTGGTAGTACTAAGAGACATGCTAGCTCTTTTACATCTTTCTCTGGTTAGTATTCCACATTCTGCTTATTCTCTTCCCTCTTGATGGCCCTAGGGTCCTCTATTCCTGAAATGAAAGAGTAACTATTCCCCCTTTTTGTTACATATCTTCCACCTTTACAGTTGTGATAATTGCAGTTAGTCATCATAACAATTACTATTAAGTCAAAAGAATTCTATCCCTATCTTCCCTCACCCCCTTTCACTAGGCCCATCTAGACAAGAGGAAAACTATTCAGTGGGAATTATTCGACCTAACCCACCCCC